AAACCCTGATTTGCATTTATGTTAGTAACTTTTATTGATTCACAACAATATTGTAAACAGACAGTCTGTTCCAGTGAGTAACTCATTCACAGGCACCTTGTCAGACAAACTTAATTTATGTGATTCATTGGAACAAACCGAACTGGAAGATAAGCAGTGTGTAAAGCTGTCTTCCTCCCTTTTGGAGGGTGGCTCCTGTTCTTGGAGCCCAGCAGCAGCCTTCTTTGCTCAGGGGGGAAATGTAACAAATTTAAAGAAGGAAAGTGTGACAGACTTCCTCTCTAGACAATGTTTGCTTACAGCTCAAACTGTAAACTCAATATATGATCTTTTGTCAATTGTCATAAATAAGGTTGACTTCCTGAAAGAATCTTTTGCAACATTTGTTAGGAGCCACTCAAATACTGTAGAAGGACTTGGGAGGATAACCATGGATAGATATGGGACGGCTAACTCAGAAAATGAAACTTGCGAAGGACCTTGTTTTCCTCCCAAAAATTTGAACACATATAGAGAAAACACTCAATCAGGTAAAGGCCAATCAGGTAAAGGTCTGCAAACTAACCAGGTTACCTTGCAAATTTATTAAAAGAGAGTAAATAGAGGGAATTGGAGTAATAGAAAAGCTGTTAGGCTGTCCCTGAGCCAGCTGCTCCGTTGTGAACTCACTTTGATAGATCTACTACATGCAGAGTGGCTGCCAGCAAGAATGCAATGTATGAGAATTTTCCTATTGTTCAAGCAACCCATAATACCCTCCATGCTTTTCAGAATGAAGCCTTTTCTGAGCACCTTCTCAATATTTCCAATAAGGGTTTTTTTGCTCAGAAAAAGTGTACCCACTCCTGAAACAGCATCACCAAGTGGGAACTGTTCCTTTAAATCTAGGATGTAACAGCTCTCGCGTTGCTAAACCTGAGGCTGCTGCAACTCACCTGACCCCCGAGAAGGCAAAGAAGCAATATACAAACTGTGTTACCCACAGCTGTAGGAACTGCTGAGGATGCGCCAGAGGAAACGTTGATTGGCTTATTCAGTGCATTGTCAGAACCTGAGCAAGTTAACATCATTCAAAGATTGGATGACCTAAAAGAGGCATTGACAACAACTCAATCTACAGCAAAGCCTCTATTTAATTTGGCTCCACTAACTACACAATCTTGTGACAATGTATTTAATCAACAAACTGCCTCAACAAACTGTCACACAGGCTGACTGTGGGGTAACTGCACTGACTGACCCAACCTCTGAGAAACAACTGAAAGACAAAGGGCTTCATCACACAGTGCCCCCTAAACTGACAAACACTAAGGAGATAATCCAGCTTCCATCTTCAATTGATTTAGAAGCTCCCATAACAGCTTTCCACAAGATGAATCCTCAGCTATGCCATTCCAAAAATGGACATAAATCTACATTTATAGATTTAAACCAGAGTACCTGCCCATTGGGGAAAAAAACCATTCTTGGAGCAAGAGGAAAGGCATACTGGCAACCGAGATATAGAGGAGCAACAACAAGTTCTGCAACCCATGAGGAGAAATATTGAACCTCACAACAATTGTGTTTATATGGGAAGCTTAGATGATATTGATCTGGCTCCAAAGTCAAGTTGACATCTGACATCCTTACCATCCAGCCAATTAACCAAGCCAGATCATCTTGCTTCTGAGAACCCCATACAGTTGGTGACCTGGAACATAGCAGGCTGGAAAGGGATAGTTGATAGTGGACTAATGAGCTTTTTCTCTAGATTTGACATAATAGCCCTTCAAGAAACTTGGTGAACCGAAGTGGACGAACCAGTACAACTGCCAGGCTTTCAGGGATGGGCCTCCCCAGCCCAAAAAACAAAGGGAGACCCTCTGGTGGACTATGCATTCTTAAAAAGCAAGAGTTTCAATGGCAGGGAGATAAATTATATAACGAAGATAAGTATCCGTACTTTGTAGCTGTCAAATTTTAATATGACCAGTTTGAGTTAATATTGGTAAATGTGTGTATTCCCCCAAACACATCCCAGCACTATAATTCTGAATATTGGGTGTCCTTGGAAGTCATCCTAGATGATATAGCAATATTGTATCCTCAGTCCATAGTGGTTCTATTAGGAGATCTGAATGCTAGACTGGGTCCCCCTTTGTATGAGCTTGCCCAGAAGAAGGGAATCCCAGGGGAGTTCTTTGAAAACCATCCTCAGTGGCTCTCGAGAGATTGTAAAAGTAATGCCGCTGGTTTGCTCCTAGTCTCCTTAATTTTTAAGGGTAATCTCCAAATTTTGGGAGGTAAGGATAAGAATTACATATATCCCTTACACACACCACTCAACTAATTCAAGTAGTGTACTGGATCTCTTTTGTGTGTCTAGAGATAAGGTTGACCTCTTTTCGGAGGTCACAGTACACCTTAGCGACAATAGCGACCATCATCTTATAAGTGTGACATTGCGAGGCTGCTCAGATTTAAGACCATATAACATGGCTGACAGATGGCTTACTAAAAAGGTAGAAGTGACTCAAAATAAAAGGTTAATTTGGGCTAAGGTTGATACTAAGGCAATATTAGAATGCCTTAAAACAGAGAATGCTATTAAGTGGGCTAGAACAATCCAGTCATTTACTACTGACTGGATGTCAGCCTACAATGCATTCTCCAATCTTTGTAACATACTGAAGAAACATCTAACAACTAAACCTGCTACTAAAAGAGCCCAAGTGGGTAGACCTCGCTGGTTTGATTCGGATTGCCAGCGACTGAAAAAGAAATTGAAGGCAGCCATGAGGCTTGCTCAGAGGAACCCTACTGCCTATATATAAGCTAAGATGTTGCACACAAAAAGGGAATATAAAAAAACTATAACATTAAAGAAAACAAGTTTTGCCATTTCAATCTGGTCAGAACTTGAGTTGGCTGCCAGAAGTCATAACTCAGTATTATTTTGGCATTCTGTAGCAGGTATCCTGAAAGAACGGAGATTTGCGTTTGACATATCTCTACTGAGGATTGAGGGAATTATTATCAGTGCTTGTTTGCCTCCACCGAACTGGTAAAGAAATTATTTTTAAACAGTGATTTAACAAACCCTAGAACTTCCCCCGCTTGGTCACCAGTCTCAGAAAAGGAGATACAGTCCATCATTAAAAGTTTAAAGAGCAATAAAGCCCCAGGAGAGGATTTTCTACCAACAGAATTATTTAAGAAATTTCCCAACTGGTGGGGCCCTACATTAGCAGGCCTTTTTACACACATAAATAACACCTGCCATATACCAGATGGGTGGAAGGTGGCAATAGTTGTCCCCATATATGAAAAGGGGGAATAAAAAGGATCCTAGTAATTATAGGCCCATTAGCCTGATTGACATTGTAGCAAAAATATATGCTAGGTACCTTTTGAACAGAATTGAAATCTGGGTAGAGGAAAACAACCTCCTCGCAGAAGAACAAGCAGGTTTTAGACAAGGCAGATCTACTATTGATAACTGCTTTGTCTTGGATCATCTAATTGCCAAATATGCCTATAAGAGAAGACCCCTGTTTGCTGCTTTCATAGACCTTACAGCAGCATTTGATATGGTAAATAGAGACGTACTATGGAGTAAACTGACATCTCTTAAAATAGAACCCAGACTCCTGGCTTTGATTAAAGCCCTTTACACAAGTACCTGTTTGAGGGTGCGGTATGGGGTTAACGGGGCCCTGACTAACAGGATTTGCACAAATAAAGGGATAAGGCAAGGGTGTATCCTGGCCCCATTATTATTTAATTTATACATCAATGACTTGCCAGGGTTAATGAAGGGTACCATGGTACACACGCCAATGATCTTAAATACTTACTGTAACAGCTTGCTTTATGCTCTTCACAGCTCAAAGAGAACGGGCGTGTCAGGTAAGTACCAACGCCCTTTTTATTATCATACACACAAGTAGGATTACGTAGGCTATTAAGAAGATTTAGCTCTTATTGCCAGGATAACTCTCTAATCATTAGTAAATCCAAATCAAAAATAATGGTGTTTGGAAGAAACCATCAGAGACATAGGTGGCAATTGGATGGTGAACCAATTGAACAGGTTAATTCCTTTGTATATTTGGGTGTAACTTTTTCCAAGACTGGATCTTGGGCCTGCCATCATCAACGGATACATTTAGAGCAAAAGCCCATTTGAATTTATTGCTCAAACTAAAAAACCATAGTTATCCAGGGTCCCTAGTCCCATTAATCAAGGTTTATAAGGCTAAGGTTACCACAATGCTCTTGTATGGAGCAGAATTCTGGGGTCTTTACTCAACCACAGTCTTAGAACAAACACAGTCCCAGAATTTGAGATGTATTTTGGGTGTAGACCCAAGAACATCTGCTGCAGCAGTTAGAGCTGAATTGGGACTTTATACAATTCAGGCATTGTCTAAAATTAGAGCTTATAATTACTGGTGCAAAGTTAATGAAATGGAGACTGATAGACTACCCAAATTATGCCTACTAGAGCAAATAAAACTACAATCACAAATCTCCTGGATCATTAAACTAACAAATTTTGTAAGAAGCTGTGGTCTTCCTATCTCTTGTGTAACAGGAGAACAATCTAAAAAAAGAGTTGCCCAAAGAATTAAGGATATAGATGTACAAACTGATATAGCTGATAAATATCCTTAGTAAGGTAGGTAACTTGAAATGGTTGAGTAAATACAAATGTACTTTTCAAGTAGATAGCTACTTGAAGTCACAACTCCCAAAACATCTTAGGGAGATATTCACGAGAGCGAGATTTGAACAGCTTGACACAATGATTAGATATGGGAGATTCCATGCAATACCATACAATGAGCGTCTCTGCATTTGCGGAATGGCAGAGGTAGAGGTCCTGGCTCACATCCTATTTGACTGTTGCCTGTATAAGAGGATGAGAGACAGGTATCTTGGTCTATATATCAGACAAATGACCCATTGGGATACCCATATCAAAATAACTTACCTTATGTCTGGCCAGAACTTGAAAATAACATTTAAAGTAGCACAGTATTTAAACAAAATGATTCGGTTGAGATCTGCTTATGTGGGATTGATTGGGGTAGACTGCAAGGACGACTCTGAAATATAATGTTATTATATTTTATCTATATCTTAAATTATTGTACATTATTACAATTTTATTTTGGATTGTATTTTATTACTATTTCATCTTAAATCGTACTTTGTCTAGATTCCATTTTAAATTGTATTTTATCAAGTTCCATTTTAAATAGTATTTTATCAAATTTCATTTTGAATTTTTTTTATTAAATTTTAGTAACAAATTGTTGCTGGAACTTTGTACTTTGATATGGCCCAAGGGCTAATCAATAAAGACTTATTATTATTGAAGGTGAAGTGATCCATAAAATATTCTAATGCTCATAAGCACAATTGAAAAGATCTTGCTAATGTAAATTCATCTGTTTTCCATTCCTAGGTGCAATTTTTCTTTTTTTGCCTCGAAATAATATTTGAGAAAGATTAATGGTGGTGGCTTTGGAGAACCAATCCTGATCTTGACATAGTTATTATTTTAAGATAAAATGCTGCCTTTTATTCAGAGCTCCTTGTGGCATTTCCTCCTCCTATTTTTCTCTGCAAGAGCCCTGCAAGATAAGATGGACTAAGAGAAAATAATCCCCCCCCCCGCATTATCCAGATTAAAGATCTATGGCTGAAGTTGGACTAGAACCCTCTTCCTAATCCAGCATCTTAACTAGTTTGGCAGGTCTCAATCTGGCCGAGAAAGAAGGCCTATTTGACAACCAGAGATTGGCAGATGGAAAGGGGTTTTTCACATCAGGGGTGCCAAGAAATCACCCCAAAATTTGCCCCAGGTCAATCTTCTGCTCAAGGCACAGCTTCAAAAATCCAGGAAAAGAATTCAACCCCATAGCCAAGAGTGGATGCTTCTTAAAAAACGATCCGGATTCCCACACTGGTTTTTGCCCATCTCAGTTAGAACAAAATATTAGAATAATTGAACTATTCTTCTCATTGCAATGTTACTTCCATAACTTCTCCTCCCCACCATTCCACAAATGGATCTAAACATAATATCTATCCAGAAACATCTATCCAGAAATACGTACCTTAGCAGGAGGAAAAACACATGTACCCAGACCCTCTGAAGTCGATCAGGCAATGACAGGATACCACAATCAAGAAAACTGAAAAAGAAACTCAGCTTTTCTAATGACACATAAAAGTTGAAAGATGGAAAGCAGAGGGGGGATAAGACTCTGAGGTTTGCACACAACCTCCCATGGGCAACAAAAAAATTCACACCTCAGCTTGCCTTTTGCCCACCAATTAACTTGTTTATTCATTTTTTACTCCAAAGAAATGAGCTTACACATTTAAACCCCACCCAAGTGTGTATCTTCACTATAGGAAAGACTGAAAAAGGGAGGGTTTTTTGGGGGGTGTGGGGGTTTTGAAACCTGGTCTGAGAACAGTTTCATTTTTGCTTCTTGCTGTTCCCCCAAGCTTGGCCAGAGTCACCATTTACAAACCTGTTTCAAAAAGATAGCCTAAGCCACACACCAAGTGCCAATAGCAGAGATGTTTGCAGGATATCCTGGAAACAACACTTAAATGTAAGTTTTAAAATAATGCTGAAATACATTTCATTTCATTTGAATACATTAGTATGTATTCAAAATGTTGACAAAATAAGTAATCGGGATCACTTTTATTAATATACATAATGTGCTGTCTCAGCCAGTCCATGGGAGTTGGATAGTTACTTAGGAATTGTGAGCTGTCCTCTTAAGGGAATGCATCATGGTAAATGTAGTTAAAGGTATCCTGGGAAATGTAGTTCATCTCATGTGGCTACACCTGTAATCCTGATTGGTCACTAAATTGACTCTCAAGGGGTTGATGGAGGTTTCCTCCATTCTTGCCTGGACTCATGGACGGATAAGTTTTCTTTCTATCGCTATGAGATGGGTTAGGAAAATAACCATTATTTACCTGCAATGCTGATATACAAAGGATTGGTCATTATAGAAGAGCGTTGTCACAAATGTGAGTTATGAAGATACCTGATGTACCAATAAATGTACTTAGTTATGGATGTTTTGTGGAATTATCTATCTGCATCTGCACAGCCACAAATCCACCTCTGTGCATGAGACAGGACGAAAAGTAAAAAATGGTTATTTTCCTAACCCATCTCATAGTGATAGAAAGAAAGCTGTTATCCGTCCATGAGTCCAGGCAAGGAGGAAACCTCCCTTAACCCCTTGAGGATCAATTTAGTGACCAATCAGGATTACAGATGTAGCCACGTGAGATTAACTACATTTCCCAGGATACCTTTAATTACATTTATCATGATGCATTCCCTCACAATTCCTAAGTAACTATCCAACTCCCATAGCCTGGCTGGGACAGCACACGTAATGAACCCATTTGCAATATCAAAAAAGTGTAATTCTGAAATTTTGTGAAACCCCAAAGATTGCAAGCTGTATTTAATTTATGGCTAAATCTAGCAACTGGTCACAGCATCTGGAAGGAATGATAGCTATTAATCCTTTTAATTGAATTTGCCCAGGATTAAATTTTGCTAATCATTTCTGGGCTGCAAAATTTACAATGTCCACCAGATGGCAGTAGAGAGATAGCAAAAGTCTCTTTGCTGACATCTCTGGTTCATCTGGAATATAACATCCCAATACAGAAGTTTTACATTTGGGTAGCTCTGAAGTCTTTTTGCTTTGCTCTGCTGATCTGGTATTGGGGAGAGACCCTGGTGAGGAAAAGGAGAAGGAAGAGAAGCTGTAATGGAGAGAGCAGCAAAGATAGGTGTGTGTGTGTGTGTGTGTGTGTGTGTGTGTGTGTGTGTGTGTAACTGAATTTCAGTGAAGCATTGCAAATTTTGTGTGAAGAAGACATAATATTCATATTAGCTAATTAAGGGATTTTTCCAATGCAAGTTATAGGAATGGGCAGAGGGTTTTTTAGGAACGGGCACAGACATAACTGTGGGTAATTAGGCGTGTGGCCAGAAAAATATCTGCAGTGCATTACTTTTAAATATCATTCCACAGCACTTCTGAGTACAGGTAGTCACCTTACAACCAAGAGCTGTGGTGGCACAGTGATTAGAATGCAGTACTGCAGGCTAATTCTGCTGACTGCCGATTGCCAACAGTTCAGGAGTTCAAATCTCACCAGGCTCAAGGTGGACTCAGCCTTCCATCCTTCCGAAGTGGGTAAAATGAGGACCCAGATTTTGGGGGGCAATAGCTGACTCTGTAAACCACTTAGAGGGCTGTAAAAGCATTGTGAAGCAGTATATAAGTCTAAGTGCTGTTGCTATTTTTAGTGATGTTACTGAAAAAAGTGACTTAATAACCGGTCGTCGCACTTACAACTATTGTAGCATTCCCATGGTCACGTGTACAAAATTTGTACCCATGGCAACATGCATATATTTACTGTGGTTGCAGCATCCCAGGGCCAGATCACCATCTGCAACCTTTCCATGGTGACTCATTTCGTGATAGCAGTAAAAAAAGGTTGTAAAATTGGGCATATCTCCCTTAATGACCAAATCACTGAGCCATACATGTTCCAATTATGGCTGTAAGTCAAGGACTGCTTATAGTGATTCCTGTTACATAAAAGCAGGAGTGACTTTCATGATGGTGGTTTTTCTGGGCTTCATAGAAACATTTTGTTCTCCATCTTGTGTGTGGTTAGAAGCAAGGGACCAACATAAATCAAATGTAGGAAATACTACACTAAGGCTGATTCTGTTGTTTTGAAAATCCTAACTATGAAGCCAAAATAATTTCAATCAACAGGTTGTGTTAATAGAGTTTGAAAATGCAAAGAGGATGTTTTAGCAGGAAAGCTGAAGGCCGCACAAAGCACTCAGAAGCTGAGATCTCCTTCCTGCATAGTTGTTCCCCCTTCATTCTTAAGAAGCAGAAAAACATTTATCTGTCTTATCTATCAGATCCAATTCCCCCATTTTTCTTCCAAACCTCTCTGATAACAGAAACATTAGACATAGCTAGTTGGTTAGATTGAGATAGATAGATAGATAGATAGATGATAGATAGATAGATAGATAGATAGATAGATAGATAGATAGATAGATAGATCCAATAAAGGAGAATATTTTGAGAGTTGAAATGAGGGGTCCTTGGTGCTCTCTTTCTTGTTTTCTTGCAGACATTTCATTACCCTAACAAACTAGGTAATATAATCAGTGCTATTAAAGAGTGCTGTTTGCTGTCAGTTTATATTCTAGTGACTTGCCCTGTCTGTGTGGGTGAGTGGGAACAGAGATCCTTGGGTTGGGCTGTTTACAGATGACTCTTTGGAAGTTTCTTGATTGTGGTATTGCTTACTTGATTATCGGTCTGAAGTTGACCTTGGAGTTAATCTATGGTGATCTGAGAACTGATTTCTAGTGATAGATGATAGATAGATAGATAGATAGATAGATAGATAGATAGATAGATAGATAGAGAGAGAGAGAGAGAGAGAGAGAGAGAGAGAGAGAGATGGATTGACAGACTTTCAGTTGTACCTGGAGAAGGTGTGTTCTTTTTTATCCCTTAAGTTGTGTAAGATATGTATGCATAAATGAACATCTCCTATCATGATTTTAAAATCAATTTCCCAGTGAAGTGGTGACTCAGTTATTGAAGAACAAAACATGGTGTGATTCTGAGACGTAAACTCTTATCCAACTTCACACAACAATGAAATCCTCATTAAAATGAGGATTCTTGAGTTATCTTTTCTTTCTTCAAAGCACATCCTTCTGGCTACCCATTCTGTATCTTCACAGAAACCTTGTAAGTAGGCTGAGAGGGTGCAGACTATCCCTTGATTGTGGTCATGGCTATTTGGCCAGATGGACTTTAGTTTCCGGAATTCATATATTTTAATATCTGTTCTGCTTGCAATGCAACCAAGATTTTATCCACACTATTTTAATCAAAGCTGGCTTGTGACAATGCAGCAATTTTTTGTCCACTGGACTATTCCATTATCAGGAAAGGTTTAAAGACTCAACAGGATAACATTCATATTCCTTAAAGATATACACCTTCCCCAAGATACCCTCCTGACGATCAGCTAGCAATGAGGGCTTGTTGTGTTTTTGGTAATTGACCAGAGTTCAGTCTGTGGTACTTTCCAGCCTGTACTTAAGCACAGTATTATTCCACCTCAGTGACTTTAAGTGTGTGGACTTCAACTCCCAGAATTCCCCAACCAGCTGAGGAAAGTGATCATCTCTTGCGACCTTCCGACAAGCAAAGTCAATGGGGAAGCCAGATTCACTTAACAACCATGTTATTAACTGAACAACTGCAGTTACTCCCTTAACAAGGAATGTTGTCAAATGGGGCATTCACCTACCCTCTCATTTAGCAATGGAAATGTTGGGCTCAGTTGTGGCTGTAAGACAAGGACTACCCAATACATCAGGGGTGTCAAACTCACATGTTATGTGACATATTGCAACTTTTTTCCCCTTCACTAAACTGGGCTCATGGGCTGCAAGTTTGATACCCTTGCTGGCTCTCATAAATATTCTCTAGAGTCACTCATAATGATACTTTGGTTGTTTGCACATCTTAGGATAAAAACTTCATTAGGTGCATTCCTGTGATTTCCTTTTACCTATCTGCCCTGGCCCATTTACACCTGGCTTCCTTAATCCAATGTAGACGTTTTCTAGGCTATCCAATCCTGGAATATCCACCATTTGTGTTTTCAGAAGCAGACTTTGGATCCAAAGCTTGTGCAGAGAAACGTCTGGATTTGGAAACTATAGTACAAGATGGTGGCCAACTTAAGTGGGGCCCGTGATTATTGTTAGAGGGCCACATGTAATGGAATAAAATAGTGGTCTGCATCTTATGTTATCATCTTTTCTGCATAGTCATGTGTGCAGGTTTTCATTGGTTTATTCATTTGACACCACTGACCACCAAGTTTCAGGAAGGGTATGTGTGGGATTTATTCTCACATTCTTATTTAGATTAACCTAGAAACAGAGGTGACTAATGAAAACCATTGAGGAAGAAGCTATTGTGGTTTGTATCAAGGTGTCCAACATTGGTGACTTTTAAGACTTAATAGAATAACAAGTCGAAAGGGAC